AGCTGATCTCCTGTGATAATCATATAAAGGCTGTGGATGTGTCTGGCTGAACTTCAGCAAAGCCTTTGACACCATCTCCCACAGCATCCTCCAGGAAAAGCTGGCAGCTCACAGCCTGGATAGGTGAATTCTTTGCTGGGCAAGGAACTGGCTGGATGGCCAAGCCCAGAGAGTGGTGGTGACAGTGCTTCACCTAGCTGGTGGCCAGTCACAGGTGGTGTCCTCCAGGGATCAGTGTTGGGCCCAGTCCTGTTTTATTGATGATCTGGATGAGGGAGTTGAGTCCACCACCAGCAAATTTGCAGGGGACATGCAGTTTTGGGGGAGGTAGGAGTGCTCTGCAGAGGGACCTCAACAGGCTGGATAGATGGGCTGACTCCAACAATGGATGGGGTCCTGCACTTGGGCCACAACATCCCCCTGCAGTGCTACAGGTTAGCACAGAGTGGCTGGACAGTGGCCAGGCTGAAAGGGATGACGGGGTGCTGCTTGGCAGCTGGCTGAACATGAGCAAGCATGTGCCCAGGTGGCCAAGGAGGCCAAAGGCACCTGGCCTGGATCAGGAACAGTGTGGCCAGCAGGAGCAGGGAAGCCATTCTTTCCCTGTACTTAGCACTGGGGAGGCTCTGCTTTAAACACTGAGTCTAGCTCTGGGTCCCTGAGTTGAGGAAGGATGTTGAGATGCTGGAGTGTGTGCACAAAGGGGCAACAAAGCTGGTGAAGGGTAGCATAAGTCCATGAGGAATGTCTGAGGAATCTGGGGTCGTTTAGCCTAAAGAAGAGGAGGCTCAGGGGGGATCCTCTACATCTCTCTCTACAACTCCCTGAAAGGAGGCTGTAGCCAGGTGAGGGTCAGTTTCTCCTCCCAGGCAATAGGACAAGAGGACAAAGTCTTAAGCTGCTCCAGGTGAGGTTTAGGTTGGACATTAGGAGGAATTTCTACACAGAAAAGGTGATGGGGCATTGGAATGGACTGCCCAGGGAGGTGGTGGAGTCACAGTTCCTGGAGGTGTTTAAGGAAAGACTGCATGTGGCACTCATGGTCTGGTTGACACAGTGGTGTCTGGTCACAGGTTGGACTCAATTATCTCAAAGGTGTTTTCCATCCTAGTTGATTCTGTGATTCCGTTATTTTTCCCTGCTCCTGGGCAGTAATGTTTGGCCTCCTGAAACGCTTTTACTTAATCCATGTATACACTCCATTTGGAAGACCTTATCTAATGGGAAAAAGTTCCAACAACCAGGCAATAGATTTGTTTTCCTTTGCCTTTAAATGAAATATCAATGGATGGATATTTTATTTTTAGCTGAATATGAAATTTCACAAGCGACCTGTCAAGCTCCTGTTTTCAAGAATGACTTTATTTCACACGTCAAGACAGCCTGGGAAATTAGTTTTTCTCACAGAGGGCTCTGATTAGGGATTACAAAGTGAGTGTGGCGCAGAGTGATTTTTCCTCCATCTTTTCCCTCGCCCCACCAACCTAGAGAGTGCCTGACTCTGCTGACTAAGGGGAGCAATTCATTACCATGCGTGGCAGGGCGATGGGAAGAAAGATAGCCATATTAAGTAGACTTGCTGGCCCAAGAGAGAATAGGAGAAGCATAATAATACTTAGCCCTTATCATTCTTTTCATCAGTAGATATCAAAGCACTTGAAAAAGGAGGTTGATTTGAGGGGAAAAGAGATAAATTCCAATTGCAAGCAGCCTATTGCAGAGGCACCAGCAGGAAGGCTCACTTTCACGATAGTATCTTCTGACTGTGGGTCTGCAGGGTAGAGAAATGAACAGGCCCTTTCCTCTGTAAAATGCAGAAGTACATTTCAAATGTTATTGACTTACCCAGTGTAACTCTCATGGGGTTTGGCAAAATATGAGGTCCAGTCCAAGAACTGGAGATTATGTATTACTAGTAAATGACACAGCAGACAGGACCTATTGCCTTTGCCAGCAGACAACAGCTGATTTACACCATGGTTTAACTCCTCACGGAAGCAATAAATAATCCAGATGAAGGGCTGCAGCATTTTTACCCTATGGAAAACGTGGCCCATTCTGGGGCATTTCTATTGCTGTCCAGTGGATTAGTAGCAGTCACTGGAGTAGAAAGCAGCCCTGTTCTGCTGTATATGAACAGCAATATTTGGCTCGACTGTTAAAAGTCCCGCACTGGCTGATCTGATACAGTTTACTGCCTGATTTCCTTTGGGCCACATGAAAGAGCTGCACATGAGGAACCACACACTGAAAGCATCAATCCCAAGGTCAGTCTCCATATTCAAGAGCAGTGCAGCATCTCTACTGGCTACACATCTTTAACCGCTTACATGCACATCTCATTGCAAAGAACTCTCAGGAAAACCTCTTCTTTTTCTCTTCCTTCTTTGTAATGTGTGGTCTAGCTTGAATCTATTTGCCAATGGCCTTTCTGCCCCGTGTATATGATAGCAATGTTCAAAGAGGCCTGAAGTCCTGCTGCGACAGGCAGCCCAGAAAAACATCTCTCAGGAGGCAAGATGAGATCCCATTGGGTCAAACAGCTGCTGTGCAGTCACTATGACTCACATCAGAAGGGAAGAACACTCCAGGGGCAAGCACTTCATGTGGAAGTTACCCATGTTTTCATGATGCCATCTACAATAATAGCTTGGTTTTCAACAGTGTAAGGCATCAGCAAGTGCCTGAGGCAGTTCCCTGGCCCTAAGACTTCCAGGGCAAATAGAGAGCTAGAGAAAGGGAGAAGGAAGAAGACACCAACTTATTTACACTTGCCTGTCATGCTAACAGGAGCAGGTCACAGCAGAAGAAACGCCTTCTGCAAAAATGAATACACTCTCACTCAGTTTCAAAATCCTCCATCCTGCCTTGTGCTCATCATGATGCAGGCTCTGCTCTGCAAATCACAACAGCAGCTCTGAACAGCCCAATCTGCTGTGGACCAGTGCCTCCCTCCAATACAGCTGCAAATAGTTTTAAATCATTAGATGCAAGTTACCAAACAGTCTCTTGGATCAGGGTTAATTAAATGAGTGTTGAAATCTAATTAAGAACTGGTCCAGGTGATAATTAGCAGGAAATGTATGCATTAAAATATTCATTTGTCGATGAGCTGCAATTAAGAGTGTGATTTGGGGAAGGATCAATATCTGCATCATGTGATCTGAAGAAAAATTAAAAGTCACCCAGCCTTCAACAGAAATGCAGGGGAATTTTGGCTACAGGTTTTTTTCTCTCTCTTCTCCTCCACTCCCCCTTCTGTTCAGGCTTTATAATAACTGCTGAAGATTGCTCTCCATCTTTGAATGGAGCATTCATCTCTGCATCCCTTTGTTTTCCTGAAGCACTTCTTTCAAAACCTTGCTCTTCATCACATTCTGTGAGTGGGTTATAGATTTATTAGAGAGAGACTAACAGGTCAAAAAGAAAGATTCTTTGCCAATGAAAATCACTTTCTCCCAGTACAGATTACTAATCTAAGGGAACATCACTCATTGTGTGGTGTTAGATTGTTGGGGTCTTTTTTTAGCAGGTTAATTCCTCAACTCTTTATTCATAACTGAGAATCTGAAGAGGCTATTGAATATGTATAGCTTAGACTTATATATACATATGTCTATAGCTGTGGTTTACTACACTCCTCCCAATTTGTAGCAGAGCAATTCTGCTTTCGCTGAGATTATTTTTTCTCTTTGCAGGTACATAGGGGCATGTGTAAGCCAGTTAATAATATTTTTATTGTGCAATTCCAGAAAATTCATCCTCTGCTAGGACAATAAGGGTCCTGCAGCAGTTCAGCTCCTCTGGCATGGAGCTGGTCTTCCTCTACTGCCACAGCCAGAACTGAGCTGGTTGTTTCCCCACTGATAGTACTTTGACCAGTGAACACCAGTTTGTCAGAACAGGAGCTGTGGGAGCACAATTATTTCAGCTGCTCACTGTCAATGTCCTGCCCATCTCCCCAGGCTGGGGGGCAGCCCAGCTTCCAGGGCAATGCCCACTGCAGTCAGGGATTGCAGCTGGATTGTCCCTCCCCTGCACCTCCTCCTTCCCTGGGGAGGCCGCCCCATGGGGAAACAACCAACCCATGAAGTTAGGGCTTCCTTGGAGAAAGACCAAAAAGTGCCCTCCTAGGTAGATCTATTTCTTCTCATCTCTGCCCCCTATCAGAAGTTTAAGGATTGCAGCTATTGACCATCTGGTTTTGGGAAGGAGAGGGATTTCTTTCATTCCCAAAAACACTGCATTTTTCACAGATTTCTGCAGGCAGCTCTGATGATCATCCATAGCTCTGCGCTGGTGTTGACTACAGACATAATCCTAATTTTGTAGATCTTTCCTGGGAATGTATGGGCTCTTTCATGATAGCCTCTATTTCCTACTGTTTGTGGAGAGGGAGCTCAGGTCCATCCAGTATTATTTTTGCTCCCTTAATCTGTCAGTGCTGAAGAGATGCTGTTTCATGGTGACACATAAACCCTGCCCAGCATACTGACTCCTGTCTCCAGGGATTTCTCACTGGACTTGAGGGTTACAAGACACAGCATTGAAAGGGTGATCCACATCAGGGGTCTGGAATGCAGAGACCTCACCCATTCCACCAAAACAAATCAGTCTACAAATCCTACCACATTCATGCAGCAAAGCCTCCTACGTTTCTCTGCACTATGTCCAGATCTTTGTCCTCTGACTCAACATTCTGGGCCTGAAGATTGAAAGAATAAGGCAACAACTTTTGCAGAGAAAATGTAAATGACATCCTAGAAGCTTGAATTTTGTACACTAGGAGCCAGGCTGCTGGCAATCACCCTCCAGGATCCTTTCCTCCTGATGCTTGCACCCTCTTGCAAAAGCCAAAATTCACAGCCTGATAGGTTGCATGGAAAACACCAACACCTGGATCCCATTCTACTAAATCTGTGTTAAGTGTATGGACTGATGAGCTGGCGTGAATCAGGCTCTGATTCCCTGTGTGTCTCCTTTTGTTTCCTGTGCTGCAGGGAGCCTCTTCAAGCCTGGTGGTGAAGTTTGCGGACACGGACAAGGAGCGTACGATGAGGCGCATGCAGCAAATGGCAGGACAAATGGGCATGTTCAACCCCATGGCCATCCAGTTTGGAGCTTATGGAGCCTATGCACAGGCAGTAAGTATAGACAGCAGCTCTCTGAGTGTTCATGGGAAGGGGGACTATCACCTGGAAATGCACAAAAACTCATGAGAGTGGGCAAAAAACCTGAGCAGAAGAGGAAGCAGTGGCTTATCTGTTGAACTGGTTACATGATGGGAGTAAAAATTAGCTATGCCTTCCAGGGTAGGCTCTGGGAATCTCCCAGGTGTCTTCTAGGTGCCATAGACAGCTCTAGCAGTAACTTTTGGTCATGTGTGAGCCTATGCAGAACACTTACTAGGGGGGCTAAGCCACTGTTGTGCAATGAAAACACACTAAGCTTTGAGGATTTGGATAGAATAAGCCTGCTCACTTTATCCCAGTTATCCCAGCTTTCTGCCTCACATCACCAGTACCCTGCTGTGCCTTGCATCACCATGGGTACCTTTGGAGTGACCACAGGACAAAACAGCAGCTGTTGAGAGAAATGCTTTTAGATTCACAAAGCATGGTAGATGATAATGAAATGTACACACAGACATATGCCCACACAAAATCCTGCTGCCCCAAACAGTATGATTGAAACACACTGGGGAAAAATCCTCTTGTGCTAACTTCAGGTTTCCTGTGGGCATACCAAACCTGAGAAGACGTGACTGTACAGGTGATGGGGTCTTTATGATATCATTAAATGGATGCCTCTGAAATTACTTGTTTTCATTAGGATAAAATTAACAAGGATCTGCAACACAAGACCAGGATCAGGTAACGGGCTCTCTGCCAGATATTTTGGAGGAAGGTGGAGGTGGTGCCTGCAGCAAGCAGACACAATACTTCCCAGTGACTTTGGTTGCTTTCTCTCAAGCAGGTTTTCAGGCAGTGACACTGTACGTAGGTGCTTCTTCTATTTTATGGCAAAATGTAGCCCCCTGCACAATTTGTGCCCAGGAGGGAAGTGTTGTTGAGTACATTGTACAGGGTAGCACCTTACTGAATGGGAGACCCAAACCTTGCCTTAGGTTGTAGGACCAGCTCAGGAATAGCCCTCTGGTGTGCCAACACTCCTTCCAGAGCAATGACCACAAGGTTTTCCTTCCTTCCCTGACTGTTTCTTTCTCATGTGTTGGCACCAAGTATTTCCCATTATATCACAAAGTTTTCTTTTTAATTTGAAGCTCTTGACATTTCCTCTTTGAAAGCCCTGTGCCTCACACAAGGAGTAGGTTGTGTACAACCCAGCCCACCCCCTTATGTGAGCTATACACAGTTGTGAGGATGTGCTGCAGAGCTCCACTGAAGTTCTTCCTCTCCTTCCAGCTGCACCTCTTGGTGCACTTCTGGAGTTTTTATTCTCTCTTTTCTGGAAAAATTCTATTTTTACTTCTATTTGGTTATCTTCATTTTCGTTCCTAGCCAAAGTCAGTCTCTGTCTTTTCCTTGTCTTCTGCTCCCCTCCTCACATTATAGAAGAGCTACTTCCTCTGTGTTTAACACTCCCCCTGGCCAGAGAATGCTGCAGGAAGAGGAAAAGAGACAGTAAATCCCAAATGAGCCTAGGTCAATGGCCAGCAGACTCTCAGAGGGATGTAGCACCTTTGCCCCCATGAACCCGAGGAATTAACAGGAGGCAATCCACAGACAGCTTGGGACAAACATTTGCTGAGGTTGTCAGGCACGAGAAGTGGCTTCAGTGTCACTCTGCAGACATTGGTCAGGCAGCTGGAGAGATGCCCAAGACACCACTGTCCTGATGTCCTGGTCCAAAAACTCTTGCATTATTTTTAATCTAGAGTAACTCTTCTAATTTCCAGACAAGGTTTATGCTGATGTGAGAGGATGTTGTCTGCACCTTTACACCACAAGTTTCCTTTGTTTGTCACCAGATAAGACAGGTGCATTATGAGGGGAGGTGAGGAATCAGGACAGAAGGAAGAGGAAAAACAATTTCTGGTCTCCTCCCATCCACTTGAAACAAATGGATATTTTTCATGTTGATTTCTGTGAAAGCAGAATTGGACCCGTACTCTTTTATTTTATATTTTTCTGATAAAAATGCTAATAAGGGGGAAAAAAAAAATAAGTTTTAGATCTTGACCCATTGGATATGACAAGCTGGTGACACCAATTACCACGGGGACTTGGGAGCTGTCTAAATGATGGGATCACATTTCTGTGTGGCGCCTGTGGACCCAGAGCGTGCTCAGAGGCTGTCTCTCAATCAGCCTCCCTATCTGCTCCATCTCACAGGCTCACATGAAAGGGAGGGAAGGGAGAGCCGGGGCTCTATGACGTTGCCTTGGTCCCGATTAATCCAGCCCAGGCTGCTTGCTCTCAGATATCAGGGTGATTGGCACCTTGCAAATGCCAGCAGGAGATGGAGGGATCGATAGCATGGAGGGAGATGGAGACAGCAGTTTTACCCAGCCTGAAGTCAAAGAGCTAAGGCAAGGCAAGAGGAGGGAAGCTGAAATATCAAGATTGTCATGACTGGTGATGCCACTGCCACCAGCAACTCTCGTGACACTGGTTGAATTGTTTGACCCCCTGATCTTGTTTTTTCATGTGCAAATAAGCCTGATGATCAGGTTTATTTATTTTCTCCTCTCCCTCAGGGACACGGCTCTCTCTCCTGTGCTCTCTCTCCATGAGCTTTCTCAGAGTGGTGTGACAGTAACAAGAGTAAGAATTGCCTCAATGCTTCATAGTGAGGCCACCGCAAGCCTGAGACATCAGGCTCTCTGATTCCTAGCCTGTCCTCCCAGCTATCCCCCAGCAGACCAAACCTGATTGATGTCTCTGTATAACAATTCCCAAGCCATCCCATGACAGTGGTTTTTCAATAGTTTCTAATGCTCTGTCCCCATGGAGGAGGTTGCTCAGGACCCCATTTCTGCAGTTTCTTGCTGAATTTTCCCCAGAGAAGCATCTTGCACATCACTGTGACAGGATTATCTCCAAAAAGCCTCGATGCACCAAAGTGTCTGTGCCACAGGAGCCCCATGGTGTGGCTGTTTGATAGATTGGTGGGCAGAGCCATGGCTTTGCCAACGCAGCAGCACCACTGAAGAGAGGCAGCAAGGGTCTCAGACCATTAAAGTTTGACAGATAAACTTAAGTGTTGCTATCAGGACAGATTTGGACCCAAGGTTACCTCCCTTACAGCCCAGCAAATGGTCATGCCACAGCTCTCAGACTGCTGCTCCCTGCCAACCCCCTCAGCCCCAACTTAAACAACTTTAACCTTGATAACAGCCATGGTCTCAGCCAAGCAACCAGTCCTGGGCTTCAGCAGCCATCTGGCGTCAGACACAGAGGCAAAAAAATGAGGAAGCAAAGGGAGTTCTCCACTGTGTGTGGTTTTCTATCCCCTCCTCGTGTGCCACCTTCAAGCAGCCCAGACAAAGCTTGGCACCAACTCTGTCTGCTGTTTCAGTGGCACAGAAAGTCACATCAGACCCACCTCACCTCTTTTGTATGCAGCTCAAGGCAAGTCAGATTTCATAGCTTCCTAAAGCTCCCAGAGCCCCTACTCTAATTTATTTCAGCGTGGGTTTTTTTGATTGTTTTAGGCTTTTTCTCTTCAGCAATATCTTCCCATACTCATTTGACTTCCCCTTTTATGGAGCAATTATTTATTTTATTTCACAAGGGTACAGGGCACCAGCCCTTTCCATTGTCAGGTTACTGTGGATCTACATCAGCTGGGTACTGACAGCTGCTCCTGCAGACTGAGGCCAGGCTGAGGTATGGATCTGGGCTCAGCCTGGAGAGAAGGAGAGTGATGCTGCCTGGCACCACCTTTGATTTGCTGCCAGCCTAGGAAGAACCTGCAGGCACACTCCCCGCTTCACAGAGCACAGCTCACCCACTCAGGGCGGCCAAGCCCAAAATCACAAGCAGTAACAATCAAAACTGCCTGTGGGTGGTGGTGGTACAGCCCTGGCACAAATAATCTACAGTTCCTGCAGGTCTTTCTCTGAATGAAAGGGGCAAGGAGTGTTTAGTGCCTGTCTCATGTCAGTGATGCCTCACCATGCAGAAAGGAAACATGCACAGATCAAAAAAGGGTGAGGGAGATGGGAAAATGCAGAAGAGCAAAGCAAGAACAAAGGAAAGAGCCTTGGAAAGTGACAGATTCAGTATAAATTATTTAATTTTTAAATTATTTAAGATAAGATCAAAGTCATAAATCAAGTTTGCATAAAAAATGGGTTGGGACTGTTAGCCACAGTCTTCTGGCCAAACTCCAGCCATGGGACTGATTGCATCGTGCAGCAGGGGATAGGCAGAGAGTCAGTGTGTAAAAACAGACAGGCTGGGACACGGACAGCACAGGCAATGCTGACATTTGCTCTGTGGCCTGGAACAAGTCCTTTCTCAGTAAATCCCAGCTCTCCTCACTGTGAAAAGGTACAAATGGCTGCTGCTCCTGAACTGCAGACAATAACTGCAGCAAAAATTTGGAATATCCAGCGCAGCAGAGCTCTCAGACATCACCTTAAGTGGTCTCCTTGGGAAGTTAGGGCAGCAGTTACCACCATGCTGACCACAAAACCCTGGGTGCCCCACTCTGCCTCCCTGTCCAGCTCCCATGGAGGTGAAAGGATATTTCTGCTAAATGATCTGAGGTAGTGCTGACAGGAAGAATTGCTTTTTCCAATATTTCTTCAATTTGGACTGTGAAATTATTTTGGAGAGATAGTTAAAAAAAAAAAAAATCAGCTAGCCCTATGAAATCAGGGAAAAATTACTGACTGTAGGCTGCCTTCTGGATATAATAGTTGATACATTTAAATTGCCAAAATGGGACAGTATATCTGGTAAATAGTACCTGTTATGCAAATTATTTGCACTTATCCGTTCCAGAAGAGGAAGCTATTTTGAAGCCATAATACCTTTAGCAGGGATAGTACCATATTTCTGACCAGCAGCTCCCAGGTAATAATGAACACTAGAAATAATGAACACTAAGATTTGGGCTCTACATACATATTTTTTAGGTCTTTTAGGGGGTTTTCCAAAGTTCCCAGGAAGTTAGGAACCTAAGCTATTGTGTGTCAGACTTTGGAAAGACACTAAGACATGAATCCGGGTGTTGCATATTTGTTTAGGTTTTTTTAATGTCCTAATTATATTTAAATTTTATTTTCAAAGCAGAAATTTCTATTTCCAAGAAAACATAAGAAGTATGAAGGACAATCCTGATTTCTCTACCAATTATCTTCTGTTTGTTTCAAGGCTTGAAAGTATTTTTAGATTTACCTCCCAATAGCCAGTTAGGTATAGCAGACATGAATTTGTCAATTACACAATTTTACCAAACATGAGTCCTATTACTGCTTGATTGATTACTTTACTTACCTCTTTCTATCACAGGGATACCATGAGGATTCATTAGCTAAGTCTGTATAGATCATTAGAGATGGGAAGTGTGGGATACTGTTACTACTACTACTACCACTTCTATTTTTTTTTTTTATTATTATTATTATTATTATTATTATTATTATTATTATTATTATTATTGTTGTTGTTGTTGTTGTTGTTGTTGTTGTTGTTGTTGTTGTTGTTGTTGTTGTTGTTGTTGAATGAAGAATATGAAAAATCAAACAAAGCATTGCGTGGTTCAGACAAAAAAATAGAAAATAGCACTGGAAAAAAGGAGAAGGTCATCACATTGTTCAGAGTAAGACTGGAGCACAATGATCACGCTATTTCAGAAAGAGCTCTTTAGAAATAATCCCCCTTTCTCCTCTTCCCCCTCTTCAGTTTCACACACATTTCTTTTGGGGCATGGGGAAGGCATTGCTTTTCCTGTTTCTAGCAGGATTTTTGTTCTGAGAAAGTTCCTTCATCCTCCACACAATCGTTCCTCCTGTAAGAAAAAGACATTATCTCCTGCCCCTGAGTACCATTGCATCTTTGAGTAGGAAAAAGATGAGTGAGACAAACCCTTACATGCGTCTGTATTGATCAGACAACTCTGCCACTCCTTCCCATGCTTTAGATGGCTTTTCCAGGGCCTCTCCACCTGTTCCAGCACTGGGATGGTGACTGCAGGCTCCTGTCTCTTGGGGTGCTGCCCAAGGGCAGGAACAGGTCTGGTAGCACCTCCAGGTTTCCTCAGAAGACAAGTATTTGAGCAACAGAAAAGACAGCAGGAAAAAAGGAACCAATCCCTAAAATGGATGGGGAAAAGCTCTAACTGCTGAGGCAAAGGTCATGCAAAGGAAGTAAGGGAAGCAGAAGGAAGTATGTCCTTTCAGCTAAGGGAGGGAAAAGCTCCTCTCTGTCCCCTTGGATCAGCCTGAGATAATAAGGCTGCTGCCTTCCTGATTAGTGCTCTGTAGCCCCAGCCCAGGCAGGGAAAATCTGCATTTCAAATGGCATATTTTAAAGTACACAATACCCAGGGGCCCTGCTGCTATTGATTTGCCTCTGGTGGGGTCACTGCCTCACTTTCTACAGCTTTATTAACTGGGACCATGCACTGGGTCTCTTTCAAAGTGAAAGGAGAGTGGATGGGACATTTGTCTTCAGGGGGAGCCGGGGAAGAAGTGGGGTGACTTTCATTGGGAATGCCTTGGGGGTTTTAGAAGGAAGGCTGGTGACCCTTACAGGACTTGTTCTCCTGCTGTAAATTTCCCTAGAGACGCCCTGGGGGGGAAGCAGGTGGGTCTAAAGCAGTCAGCTCCTTTCAAGGTGACTGAATTCCTGTCCTCCCACCCTCGTGGTGCCGTTGCACTCACCAAGCTCTGGCCATCAACCACTGGGCTGGGTAGGAGCCCCCTCTTCCTCCTCCCAACCTCTGCCCCTGAGCCCCTCCAGACAGAGTGGCATGGCCACAAATGGGACCTGTGACCTCAGGAGTTCGGCAGGAAATTTTTCAAGGGTTGGAACGTCCAGACATTCCTGCGCCTTGGCTGAGGCCACTTCTCCAGGCAAGGAAGCAAAGCCACCAGCTGGTGTTTACAGCTGTGCTCAAGTGGGGAATGCTCTGTTCCTTCCAGCTCCAGCAACCCCACTTTTACTCTGTTGACTCGGTCTGAAGACTGCAGAGAGGTGTGTGTCCTCTGGGTCATGGTGTGAAGGGCTCATTTCAACATCCAGAGGGGTTCCCAGATCTCTAAATCATCTCAGAGAGTGCATCCACAGAGCGCTGAGAATAATAGATATTGGGTGACTGTTCCCTGCAAGAGCACCTCTGCTTTTAGCAGAAGCACCTGATCTAGTTTCCCATGTCAAAGATTAGGATTTTTACCACATCAAATTGAAAAGTGGTAAGAAAGTGCTAGAGGCTATAAAACTATTTATTAAAAATCTACAAAGCTACAAATATGTGAAAAATATATTTTTAAAAACAAAACCAAATCTTTAGGTATCACCCAGGTGAAAATACCCAGAGCAGAAAATGAGATGTGAGTCAGCACACATAGTGTTGGAGTTAATCCAGTGTTAAAGATGGGTGGATGGATTCCACTTCCTCCTTGACATACTTTCTAATATTGCCTGCTCAGTACCTCCTCTGGAGAATTAACTCAAATGATGCCCAGGAACAAATGTACTCCTTAAAGTAGAATCATCATAGGTATAATAAAAAAGATTGTCTAATCACTCCATCAGTAATTACAAAGAGCAAAATATCACTAATTAAAATGTAAAAGTGCCTTGTGCAGGGTAAAATAAAACAGGGTGATTAGCCATCAAAGGAAAAGTCACCATTTTGCCACCAATCTTTATTAGGCTTCAAAAATAATAATACTCAAACCAGCAGAACACATTTCACCTGTAGATCTGACAATGTGTGGAGTCAGGTATCCTCTGTTACATTTTATTGCTGGAGAAACCAAAGCAAGTTCACATAACTTGTGCATAGTTATTCTGCAGGTTTTTGTCAGAGCACCCCTTACTTTGGACTGTTTATGGATGGTGGCAGGGAAAGTTTCAGCATTTGAATGAGTGCAGTGATTTCAAGGGTTTGTTTTAGTGTACATGTGTAAGAACAGTTAATTTAGCTGATATTTCAATATTAAAGCGAACAGAAGGGAACAGTCTGTTCCTTGCCATGACTTCTGAGGTCTGTTTAATTCTGAGCAGCAAGTCCCATGTGCTTAAAGAACAGCATCAGAGGGTGATTTCCTGATGGGAGAGAGAGTGAAATCAGAGAGAGCAGTGAAACAGAGTAACTCCAATTTTGGAGACAGCAAAGACATGAATCACTTCTAAAATCACCACAGAAAAACATTTCTCTTTTCCACTATTATCATCAAGTCACAGATTACCAGAGACTGGGGAATGTGCAGTTTTCCCAAACTTTCTGGTCATCTTCTTTCCCCCTTCCCCTTCTCTAAGCACCCAGAAATTGTCACTGCTGAGGGTTGGATGCTCAGACATTCCCACCCCTGTCTGGTTGCTTGTCCAGCACCAGGAAAGAGGACAAGAAGCAGCTACAACCAAACTGTCTTATCTTCACACCAGGAAGTGTGAAGGATAAATAATCCTTCTCTGCAGCCATACTGTCCACATGAACCTCACGAGCTCTGTGCTGGGCTCTGAGTGAGGCAGAATGATTACAACACCTCATTTTAATGAAAAAAGCATTCCCAGGCTTCATAAACATTCTCCAGCATTCTGCTCCAAAATTTATAGCCCCAAATGCCTGAAAATGCTGCCTGGGTTCCTTACTTCTGACTTTTGTAGGTGCCCTGAAATAAGCAGCGTTTTGACTTCCTAAAAAAAATTAACTGAGAAGGTTGACCCAGATCAAAACCACAGGGAAGGGGTTTTCTCATTAGACAAATCTAATCTTGCTAAAACAGGGGAGCTTCCTTCTCTTTGGGGAAGAGAAGGGAGTGAAGTACAGCACTTCTAGGGGTCTCTGATAGTGTTGGAAATCAGTGCAATGACCTGGTTAGAAGTTTTGGTCATGGTTTTGCTTGGTACCCAGCTGAAGCCTCCTAGCACCAGAAAAACTTGGGTTTTGTTGCTGACAGGTGAAGAAAAACCAGATTATCCCTAGAGAACTAGTCAAAAATTCTGCTTTGGAGAAAGAATCCCCTTTTCCTACATACACTCCCATCAGTAACCTCCAAGCTTTTCCAGAATTTTGACAAAAGCAACGTAAGCCACGAAACCGCTCTGCTCAGGTATATTGCGTTTTGTCTGTACAAAGACTTTTCTCTGCCTTTCTCAATTGGTGGGACAGGTCCAGGTCACAACAGACCTCCACATGGCAGGGTGGGGACCATAAAAACCCCAATTTGCCAAGGCACCCTTTGCTTCTGTGGTGAGAAGAATGCCCAATCCTGGGGGGTGCCACAGGGGTGGCGTGCCGACACCCCAAAACATCGGGATGCATCCCGCCCTTCCCGGGTGCCCTCCTGGAGCCGGTGCCACAGGCTGCCCCGCCAGTGACCGCGTGATATTTTTTCCCTGCTCTCTTTGTTCCAGCTGATGCAGCAGCAAGCGGCCATCATGGCCTCGGTGGCGCAGGGCGGGTACCTGAACCCCATGGCCGCCTTCGCCGCGGCCCAGATGCAGCAGATGGCGGCTCTGAACATGAACGGCCTGGCAGCTGCCCCCATGACTCCAACCTCAGGTACGGGCACGGTGGGATGGAGGGGGCAGAGGGCAGGGAAACCAGGCCAGGTCACGCAGGACGGCTGGCAGGATTGGTTAGATCTTTGGAATGCTCTCTGAGCATCAGGGTCTTCTCAAGGGTAACAAGCGGAAGGGCCAAAGGAAAGGGACTCAAGTGGCACCAGGGGAGGTTTGGATGGGATACTAGAAAAGGTTTCTTTCCCAAAATGGTTGTCAAACACTGTAACAGACTGCCCAGGGCAGGGAACCAGCATCCGTCCCTGGAATTATGTAAAAGTCATGTAGATGTGGAATTTAGGGACATGCCTTTGTGGCAGGCTTGGCACTGCTGCCTTAATGGTTGAACTCAATGATCTTAGAAAGAACATTCACTATTCTCTGCTTCTATGACATTTCTCAGTCTAATCCCACACACAACTTCTCTTTATCTCCAAAAACCCTGCAAATGTCACAAAACATCCCACAGCGGCCTGCACTGGTTTATTGGGACATATATATGTCCAGGGGGTCAGTGTTGGTGCTATCACAGCCAGGCTCCCCCACAGACTAGAAAAATAGGGTTGTGGTGAGGTGCAATGTCATCAACAAGATGAATTTTGCCCTTGGGACACATAAGCACATTCCCCTATTGTGAAATTGGACAGAAGACACTCAAGGAATACATCTGGTGCTACCTGGAATGAGGGTGTGCAGTGAGGGGGTTTTTGGCTGCAGCAAGAGACAGGTAGCCAGTGAAAGGCTCCCAGGATCTAGCTAGGCTGTAAAAAGCCCATTCTAGGAGCTGCAGTATGGTCCAGCAGGCAGAGAAATAAGCTGAGATGGGAACAGGACTGTCTTTCTTGTGGCTTGAAGAACATGATTATTCCCATTTGGGCAGGAACAGGCCAAAGGAATCATCAGCCCTGGTAGTCCTGGAATAACATGTGGCCTAACAGCAGGGGGGAAGGGAAACAGGGAAAGTGGGGCCAAACCTTGAAAGAAGTGAGGATTTGGGAAGTTTTCCAATACACAAGAGTCTGGTGGGGAGGCAGAGGACTCAAAGGCACGTCTTGAAAGGACCATTTGTAACAATATCACAAGGGAATGGGGAGAGAAGGGAGAGTAAGAAAGACAGATCTCATTCCACAGGACTTTATGGAGACCCAAAAAAAAGCACTTGACTCAAAAATCTTATACTGCACATTTCAAAATGTATGTTTACACAATGATAAATGTATAAACAAAAAGTCGATGGAGCTACTGCAAATCCAAATAAAAAAGTGGCTTAATTATATGTGCACCCTTTAAACCTGCTGCTGGCAAGATTATCATATTTGCATTAGCTAGATTTGTTTTGTGTTGGTGGGAGCAGAGAGAACATCAAACAAAGACTGCCTGGAATTCAAATATTGTCAGGGTCTGGAAAGCTGAATCCAGGCATTATTGTGCAATGGACCCACCACAAAAGAGCACAAGCTCTTTTGAATATATATAAGCAAATTCTTGAAAAGAGTATGTTCTGTATCATGGCTGTGAGACCACCTGTAAAACAGCCAAGTTCTGTGCCCACCAAATTCTGTGCCATGAAAAACATCCCAGCTCTTTTATAGTGAAATCATTTCCTCTTCTGCTATGGCCAGTGCCTTTCAGAGTCAGAGAATCATGCAATTTAGGTTGCACAGGCTCTTTAGCATCATCAAGGCTAACCATTAACCCAGCACTGTCAAGCCCACCACTAAACCATATCCTTCAACACCACATCCCCGTATCTTTAAAATACACCAAGGGATGGCAACTCCACCATTTCCCTGGGCAGCCTATTCCAGTGTTTGACAGGATGAGGGGACTGCTAAACTCTCACTGTCAGAACAGAGGAGAGGAAACTCATGTTTTTACATGCTTTCTGGATTACCCATGACTGGTCATTATTGAAAATAAGATGCTGGTTTAGATGATCCTCTGATGTCTTTCACAGCAGCTGATTTCGCACTCTCCTAATGACATATTTTCAATCACAGAGCCTATTCACTTTGGCATTATTTCAGATTTACCTTGAATGAGTAGCTTCCTTCATGAAAAACCTCTGTGGTGGGTTGTGGAAATGTCCATTGACAATTATTCCTTGAGAGAAATGTTTAGACTTTGAAATTACTCCTTGTATTACTACAACACTCACAAAGCATGTGATAAGATGCATAGAAAATGTTTCACATAATGTCTGAGCAAGCAAGCCTACAACAGTCGCAGCAATTTCTGAGTAGCCAGGAGATATCTGAAGCCTAACATTAATTCTCCTGCTGGCTTTTGTTAGCATTCAGAAAGCCAAATGGAAAATGATCATTCTGCTTCATAGCAGGATTTCTAGTCATTGAAGTATATCTTTTTTCTGCCTTGGAAGGAAAATGAAATATTTCAAAGTTCTCAGAAAAAAAAAAAACAACCAGGCACTAGAAAAAGTCTTTGGAACATTGGAAAAAAAATAGAAAGGAAGTGTTTTGATCTTCCTGAAGCAAAAGAAAAATTGTGCTAGAAAAAAAGGTTCTGGTAACCCAGAAGTCCTAGAGGCTTTGGAGGTATGGGCTCAGCCATTCCAATTTTATGGGCTCAGCCATACCAAGCTCAGCCAATTTTTAGCCCCCCTAATACAGCTGGTTTCCTCTACATCCCACCTCTAGGAGAGTGGATTCCTGGGAATATGACCATACCTTAATTCATTTCCATGGGACCTAGGGGCTCAGAGTTTTGGATCCAGGCAAATGTAATAGATGAGAGATAGCAACCATCTCACCTGGCTTTAACCATAAAAAACTTAGACATCTCATTTGAACTGCAGTCAGTGGAGTGCAATAAGCACTCCCTATGGATAATTCAGACCAAGAAAATTGTAACACTGTTTGCTGTCATTTTAACAGTCTTCCATCAAGGGTCAGGTTTATCTCAGAAAACAGTCCATAATTGTAAGGGAATTAATTTGACATTTCTGAGAGTTTGGTTCAGGCTTTAGATTTCTCCCATCACTGCAACAATCTGGGTGAAAAGTGGGTCTGGCAGTGGGTCTGCTGCTCTGTTACCTGCAGAGATCAACTAGAAATTAAATTTTATTTAGGCTTCCTTCCTTCTTCCTCCTCTCCCTGCCTCCCTCCCTCCCTCTCTCTCTCCTTGTTGTAAATCTGCACCTGGTGTGGCTACAGCAAGAGATCTCAAACGAGGGATGAAATCCACAACTGGCATGCACCACCACCATTTGTTCTCCACGGTGGCATTATGCCAGTTTTACTCCAGCTACAGATCTGACCTCTCCAGGGGGGTTCTTTATAAGAAGAAAACTGAAGAATTCCAATAAATATGCCTAAACTTCCTCAGACATGCACAAAATAGCAAGCACAAATCCCTTGCTGCAATTTTAGAAAAAAAATATTATTTACATTTTCTATGCAAATAAAGGAGAGATCCAGAAAAGCAACTGAAATTTTAAGTAGCCTTTGTGATTTGGAAGCTGATGGCATATGCTAAGAGCATTGCCTTTGGACTTCAGTTGCCACTGCTGGCTCCCTGTACCTCCACAGAGGACATTTTTAAAGGCCAACACCATTTAAATAAGAAAAGGGGAAGCAGCAGCTTGTCTGCTCAGGGTATAAGAAATGAGCTGAAGTACTGCCTTTTTTCTTTTGGGCTACTCAAATCTGAACATATTAAAATATCTCATGCATCTCTAGCAGCTTTCTTAAAGCACCAACACAGATTTAAGCAGTGGTTAAAGTGTGTTATTGGACTAACCCATCATGGAAAGCTGCAATGGTGAAGACAATATCTGCAATTGGTTTAAAAGAAAGATTACTGCAAAAATTGTGCTTTCAATCAGTAGCATACCCTGATAGAGAAAGATATTGTTGAAGTTAAGATAGTTTCACTTCCCATGCACACCTAGCAAGAGAAAAATATGATTTCAGGCTCATTGAAAACTCATTTTTGGTCCCTGAAATCATCCTGAACATGTTGCAAGAAGAACAGACTGTCCGGCCATTTTACACTTACATGGGAGTAAGTCAGTGAGGTAGCAGACGGATTTAATTCTCTTCCCAGAAATTCAAGTATCCTCTACCAGTGGGTGACAAGATCCCACTCAGAACATAAAGACAAATTTGTTCTTCTCAAATAGCAGCATTACAGCCCCCCACAGGATGCATCTGGGAAGAAGGAAAGAAAAGATTCCATGAAAGGAACAGAATTTGGTCCAAATTTTACCCCAGTTCATTGAGAGATATCTGTTAAAACAGTATGAAGTCAAGCTTGGACCAAACAAGAACATTCAAAAATGTATCACCGGCTACCTTTAGGCTACAAATAAACCTGACAAGTCTTTTAAGGATCCCTAGTGCTGGGAAAGTTCAGAATGAGTTTGCACATGAAAGGTGTATTCATGAGAGAGTGCAGACAGAGCAGTCCTGGAAATCAGTGCACCCACAGAGATCCAAAGGGAATCTGATAGGAACTGCTGTAGGAAGCTGAGGCTGAGAGTTTTTGGAGGTTTTTCAAGCTTGTCTTGAGTGCTTTCTGAACAGGGGAGCGACTGCAAGCAGTCCATTTATTTGCTCAACAGCTTGGGAGCTTTTTCGTTTCTCAGGTGTTTGTTTGTTTTGCGGGTGGTGGTCACAGCTGTTGTGTCAGCAGTTTTATCCACAAAGTTGTTGTTCCCAGCACTCACCAGCTCTGCCCTTGTGTCCCCCTCACTTTCAGGTGGAAGCACGCCTCCTGGCATAACTGCACCAGCTGTGCCTAGCATCCCATCTCCCATTGGGGTGAATGGTTTCACTGGCCTCCCGCCGCAGGCTAATGGGCAGCCAGCTGCTGAAGCCGTGTTTGCTAATGGCATTCACCCTTATCCAGGTAAGCCAGACACATCCTGTGCCTGCAGCCTGTTGCCTCAGTCCTAGGGATACTGTCCACACCCTCAGGCTTTGCCCAGCAATCGCCTGTGGCATGGGTTCAGAAGGGTTACACCCCACACAACCAGGGCTCTGTATTGGTGTATTGTGTCTTATGCAGCTACAGTGTTAAACGGTTCAATCTGGATGATAAACATCAAGGGCATGTTGGAGGTGGAAAAACTGTGTACTGAATATTTGAGTGCTCATCTGCTGGGTAGCATGTCTGGTGAATACAGTCAGGACAACCAGCATGTTTTGCTTCAGCTGAACACTGACCTGAGTCCCGAGCAGCTCGTGCTGGCAGATCCCCTGCAGGACTCCCAAGGGTCCTGCCTCTGGTTAGCCTTGAAGGAGCTGTGCTAAGCCTGTTTGCACCCAGCACTGGCATCTCCTGCTGGAATTGCCCCGCAGCCAGATGGCTCCGGGACGATGATCCAAAGGGTCCACGTGCCCCAGACCCAAGCGGCTTCCTGTGTGCAGGGAGCAGGTGTTGATCTCCGAAATGCCCACTGCACACAAATCCTGCTGCCTTACCAGGCCTGGGGAGTGAAGCTGCATTGATATAGCCTCTGAATGGGCTCAGTGTCACCCATTGGTGGTACACTGCAGGAGAACTGCTGCTGGGATTCACACTGTGCCTAGCTCGAAAATGCCAGCACTACAGGAGTGATTTTGCAAGCACTGGCAGTCAGAGATGGATGAGGGAGGTTAAAGGATCCATACCTGCCCCTATACCTGTATTTACAAATTCACGTACAGTCTAAATCTGTAATTTACCAATTACCATTCCTTAATGTGCACCTACATTTTTTCAGCATCCTCAAGACTTGAGATAGCTCTCTCCTCCAATACACTTCCTCTAGAAAGTAATTTTACACCATTTCTGCACACATACTAATGGTAACAATCATAGCAATAAAAAATCCAAGTAAATGTTACTAATTGATCCTAATCACCAGCTTGCAAAGGAATATTTTACCCTGGGGAACTGATAGATTGATCTAGTCTGTTAGGAAATCAAATACTGAGTTCAATGTTCCAGCCAAAAAGCCCCAAAAACTCTAAGAAAAAATAATTCTTTCAATCTTAGCCAGTCCTGAAAACTCAGAAGATTCATCATCATAGGGAAATTTATGAGATACAAGGAAAAATACCATATAGTATAGAAATACCAAAGCCTTATCTAGGTACTGACAAATAATTATCCTCCTCCCAGCAAACACTTTGCAAACATGGACTTTGAGTGCAACTCTAAGCAGAAGTAAAATCAAGGGACTTACTGTACTCAAAATTAGGCATGCATATATGTGTTGTAGCAGCGTAAGGACAGGGGAGATTTTGGAGTCATCAGAAAACTGCAGAGAGCCCTTAGTATGTTCAGTGAGTTCAACCACAACACTGAGAAAGCATTCTGTGTTTAAGGTTATATAAACATGGCCATCTGTTCTTCTGTCCATTTATTTCTGTTTGCCTGTTTGCCAGTCAATCATTTCTCTGTTTATTCACCCACTTCTCTGTATGTCTGTCCTTTTATTCTGGTTTATTCAGATCCCTTTAGCCAATTTCGATGATCCATTACTGTGGGTACAGAGAAAATATGTTCTTTCTAGGTGAATCTTAATGGCTTGAGCTTTTCTTACTATCCCCAACTACCCCATAATTAAAGAATACCTCAGTTAGATATTCCATCCATGGTTATATAAAAGCCAATGGCCTTAATCTGATTCTCTCTGAATTTCTGAGAGACTTGCTCAGGCAGCAATGCCCAGTTAAGTCCCTGCACAAACCCCAAGAGGCTGACACACAGAAAGGTGACAGTCATCCTGCCCTTCCTTGCTGCAGACAGACTCCCTTCTGCCAGTAGAGCTGACATCCAAACAGTCTGAGCTGTGTAAAGCTTGGATTTATCTCAGGGTAACTTCAGCAATACATTTGTCTTTCTCACTGCTCAGCTTCCCCATAATGTGGTGACACCTTAAGTTATACCAGAGGTGTAAAGGGAACAGTGCCAGGTCAAGCACCCACCTCTCATTATGCTTTTGTCTGTCCCTGAAATGCTGAAAGCAAGTCCACACAGCTTACATCACGTGTTTGCTCCATCTAATTGTGTTCCTTCTCATGAGCATTTATGCACTCTCCAAACCTCTCCTCCTTGCCACAGGCTTTATTCAGTCCTGGAGCTTAGCAGCATGAAAAATAAAAGGATTAGACATTTATGTGGGTAATGAGAACATCCACAGCCATATTAGACTGGATAAAAATGTAGATAGGACACAAAACTTCATGTTTTATGATATAAGCCAGCCACTAATTGCTTGGGGTTAGAAAGAAATTTTCATCACTGGGCAGCTTGTTCCATCATTATGGGATTTTTCTCACTCTCCTCTATTGCATCTCTTACTGCCCTGTGGTTCTGCATGGCTCTGTCCCTAAATGCAAGGGTAGAAATAAAATATTACAGCTGAGCAGGCAATTGCACTAACACTATAGAGAAGGGAAGATCATGACAGTCCCTATCCAAAGCCAGCATCTTCCAAACAGCTTTCTTTTATGGTGTATCTCTCATTCTGAAAGTGGCTAAGACTGCTGCTGTATTATGTACATAATCATAGTCTTGCTATGATTATGACTTGCCATATATTGCTTAAATCCTGAATATTGCTTTCAGATACTCCTTCATACTCCACAAAAAAACCCTTAAATGTGGGTTCACACCATTACAGCCTGTAGCAGAATATTCTTTGTTGCCTGAAAATAGCAAAACAGGACAATGAACGTCTCTAGAGGCATGGCATCCATATCACTCAGACCCTAATAAATTACATTAATTGTGCAGTTTCTCTACATGTTCACCTTTCTGACCAGCCGTATTATTTTTGATGCTGCATCCAAAGGACTCCAGATTCCCAGTCTTTATAAAAACAAGTCCATATAACATAATTGTATTTAGCCTGTAATTCCACTCTTTTTTCCTTCTGTCTTCTGTGCTGTTTTTCCAAGATTCCCTTTGACTGGAGAAGGGATGTGCATGGTGTCATTTCAATCAGATTACCAAACCATGCCTGCCTTTGTGGCAAATGGATGAATACTCTGAACACCCCTACTCGCCAGGGCTTTGATCACAGCCCCTGTCCCTGCAGGAATTAGCTTTCTCTGTTAATCTGGTCAGGCTATGGATCCATGCAGTGGCACTAAAACACCATTCCTAGCAGTCATAACCTTTGCAAGGCAGGGTCTCACCTTCTCCAAGATCAGACAGTACATAATGCCTCAGTGCACTTTTTGCCACAGAGTGAATAACAAGGCAATAAGTATTCCCCCTTCCACTAGTCTGAGCCCCTTTGGAGATTTGACCTTTTTGTGTATTAATTCCTGCCCTTTAATCTTTCAGTTTGCAGAGCTATTGAACGTGGCAATGTGTCACAATATATAGTGGGGACAAAGAGCATAATCTGCTGTGCCATGATCTTGTGAGTCACTTTGCAGCAGCGCAGGAGCGTTTGCCATTTCCACATTAGTCACAGTAGCGGGGATTTTACTCTTCTGCCAAAGCTTCTTAGCCACCCAGAGCCTCTCTTGTAACCATGTGTGATGTACAGTAGCAGTAGACACCATCTGCACTGGCTTCTGCCGTGTCTCATATCATGAGAATTCCTCTCTCTGCTAACGGGTCCTGCCCTGCCGAATTGCATTGTGAGGGACTAGGTAAAATTCTCGCTCCAAAGATAAAGCCTCTTTGGTAAGAGAAAAGGGACATAGAGATGAGAAAATCGGGAGACCAAAGGGTAGCAAGCAAGAGAGAGAAGGGACTGGCTGTCAAAGAATCAGGGAAATGAGAGAACTGGAAGAAGGAACAATGCAGATCTCTCAGAAAGTTGAAGACTGCTCCATAGTCCTCTGTCCAGTGCCCAGAAAGAAGTGGAAATACACCACATAGCATCTCACACCCCCTTACTGCTCCTGGGCCAAAGGATGTGCAACTTGACCAGGGCCAGGGATGGCCCAGCAGTTTGGCAGCTTTGTGGAACCATAGATATGGAATGCTTTAATGAGTGCTGAGTTCTTCAGCTTCCTCACAGGGGGAGCAGAGGGGCAGGCACTGATCTCTTCTCTGGTGGCCAGTAACAGAACCTGAGGGAATGGTCTGAAGTTGTGTCAGAGGAGATTAAATTTGGATATCAGCAAAAAGTTCTTCACCCAGAGGATGGTTGGGCACTGGCACAGGCTCCCTAAGAATATAGTCCTAGCACCAAGCCTGACAAGGTCAAGAAGCATTTGGGCAATGCTCTCAATGAGCTGAAGTATTGCCCTTGTTTTGGGCTACTCAAATCTGAACATATTCAAATATCTCATGCATCTCTAGCAGTTTTCTTAAAGCACCAACACAGATTTAAGCAATGGTTAAAGGGTGTTGTTACTGGACTAATCCATCATGGAATGCAGGCACATGGTTTGACTCTTGGGGATCCCCTGTGCAGGATTTTGATGATCCTTATGGATCCCTTCCTAATCAGGAATGATTAGGATTATGATTATGATGCTGATTAAGTTCATTTGGTCTGGATTTAGGTTGCTGAGGAAAAAACAGCTAAGTCCCCTCAGTTCTTTGTATACCATTGAAAGTGTGTGCCCTCATTTATTATTTTCAGGCACACAGTGGTTCTGTTTCTGACTGCTCACCACTTCCAGGTCTGGCTCTATCTTTCCACTCTGCAGAGCCAGCACAAGTTTCTCCACCATCACCAGCACTCCCCTTTAGCAGACAGTACATCTGGGCTAGCAAGACAGCAATCTCCATTTTACACCCTGTTCAGGGTCCAGCCCTCTCTGGTGAGGACCAGATGTCAGTACAAACAGGCAGCCAAGCTTTTGTGCCCACATTTTTCCAAGTCCCCACTGAGACAGGCAGTAAAGGTGTGCCTCACAGGGGAATTCCTGCTCTGTAGCAATTCATGGCTT